AACACTTCATTCATGGAACAAGTTAGTAGGCCTTATCAAACAAAAATGGAATACTGACATGCAAGCTTCTCTTTAAAATTATTACCTGAAGTATTTATAGTGTACAATAGAATTACAAGACAAGCCATCTCATCTTGTACATGTAACTAAATTATGTTACAGGGAGAAAAAAGCCAACAACCAATAATTACAACTCAAGGTCACAAACCCACTCTTCTTCATTAATTTTACACAATCAAATTAATATATCAGCCAAGCAATTTATCCAATTACTATAGAAAACAATTATCAACAAATGAATAACTGGTTTAAAATTCATTACATGCAACCACCCCAATCAAAGATTTATTGAGCACATTGCATACCATATTAGATTATGGGATGTTTCCACATTACGAAATCTAATGGAATTGCCTTGAAAATACCCAGTCATTTAATAAAGATGGACTGATTGGTTAGAAACAGGCATCTGTAAACCTGCCAACAGTGTAAAATTAAAACAGCAGATCTGTTCTAACTTCACACATTGTCTTCCCTCCAGATGAATTTCTAACCAAAAGGTACTATTTGATCTTGGTCATATTTATTTAGATCAACTATTGGTTATTAAATATGTTTTATGTCAATTTCTTGGCTTCATATACATGCAATATTTAATTATGTTTTGTACCACAACCATACGATCAGATTAAAAACAGTGTACATGATACACAATCAAATTGTTTTGGTTTTTTATTAAATATATCAATTCAGATTCATTGAGAATTATACTTATAGCATAGCAGTAACAAACGAATTTGTTACAATACTTTCACACATGATAGTATAAAGATAATTAGTCTTAATCATGAATATTTTGTAAAGTTGTATAAAGTGATAAATTTATTTCCTCTTTGAGTTATTACGGTATAAACCATCCTTGGTATCCCCAGTGGTCTCATTCCGTTACACACCACTAACCCCTGTGTTCATCCATGGGGGAGACACGTATTCAAATTATCTGCCCTTGATGACTGTGCTATTTTTATCGACCAATCAAAAAAATCGTTAAATACAAAGGAAGTTGACAAAGGGAAGACACTCTCATCTTGTTGTGAACGTAAGCAATGAGGCTAAGACTGATAGAAACTGTTTTTTAATTGGTTCACAGAATCAAGTTACAATCAAGAGCAGATAATTTGAATATGTGAATACCCCATGGATAAACCAAGGAAATAGTGGAGTACAATGGAATGAGAAAACTCGGGATACAGAGAATGAGTATAAACTTACTACTACATGTACCATACAGTAGATTAATGTGATTCCAATTCGTTCGTTTGTTTCTAGAGTTTTACGTCCACTTCCACCTAAGGTGATATCATCGACAATGATTCCAATATGTGTATCTAATATTTATATACATGTATGTGTATTTAATGTTTATATACATGTATATGTGTATTTAATGTTAATATACATCTATGTGTATTTAATGTTTATACAAAATGCATGTGTATTAAGTGTTTATATAATATGCATGTGTATTAAATGTTTATATGTGTATGTGTATTTAATGTTTATATACACACATATGTGTATCTAATATTTATATACATGTATGTGTATTTAATGTTTATATACACATGTGTATCTAATGTTTATATACACGTATGTGTATTTAATGTTTATATGCATGTATGTGTATTTAATTCTTATACACATGTACATTTATCTCTCTGTATTTAATGTTTATATAAATGTGTATGTAATGTTTATGGTACATTTTTTTATTGCACAGAACACATTGATATATATTGCATTTAAACTACAAAGAAACATTGTTACATTCAAATATTAAAACCCATATTTTCCAAATAAAATCGCAAATTGAATGTACTTTATTAACAAAATTAACCTATTTGATAAAATATTTATGTTTGCTGATATTGTATGATAAGGCCTAATATCCTCTAATCAATGGTAGGAGCCATGTGTATTAATTCATATATATATATATATATGTCGAAATGAAGGAGGTGGATCAGAAGTACATGTACATTTACTTTGATTTGGTAAAAACAATGAAACAAACTCCAAAATATTTCTGGTCCTATAACTTACTCCAAACAATACCAGTAATCATTCCAATTATAGTGCACCTGTTCAGTCTTACTAAATCTACTTTCAGAAATCCTGCTTGTCATATATCTGGTACTCCATTCTGATGTGTGCATTGCTGAACAATTTTAACATTTGTAATCTGTTACATATAACTTTTATCCAGTATTATATCAATGAAATGTTAAATTATATTTGTGTGCAACATGAAAATTCTTAAACAGAATATTACACTTATCATAAAACGATTTAGCCCTGTGTCAGAGTTATCAATTTTTGCAGGACTATATCTTGTTGATTCTATTTGAAGTATTCTTAGCCATGTTTCCTGTATATATGTATATATAGCAAAAGGACCTTCATTAGCAAGACACTTAACGTCTTGTTAATGGAAAAATTGAGTACTCTATGTTTAGATAGTTCATGTTCAATTTCATGCTACAATGAGTCCTTTTTTGCACAAGAAACAATATGATGTTATGTTTAACCAAACTCTAATGGCTATGCTAAAAGGAAAGTTGGATTCTGAAAATATCACATCAACATCGATCTGTTTTTCTTTTCAATAAATCTGCTCAGGGTACCTTTTGTTGTAGATTTCAAAATTGTTTGCTTTCATACATAAAGGCTTTATTATAATGTGCAAGTGGTTGAAGGATAATTTCAATGCACCACTACAGGTTATAAGATATGACATGTCTTTCCATTTTATCAAGATGTAATGTATTGATCATTTTACACATCCATCAATCACACAAATATTTCATTTTTCAAAACTCTTTCAAAAGTCAAAGTGTGTCAAATATTGGGTGAAAATCTGACATGCTGCAAAAACTCATGTATGATTCAACTTTTTTGTGTATAAACATTGTTTTGGCTAAATATAGCTACTATCTAAACAAAGGTAGGTCCATACATCTAGGCTAAAGATTAGGCCAATATGTAAATTTTCGTTATTTAGACAATCTTTCAGTTAGTTACAAATAATTTACAAAATGAAATGGGGTTCTACACAAAATAATTTACATTCAGCAATATATATATATATACAATGTAGATGTATCAATTATGAGTAAATTTACATTGCAGTCGGGCTCTTTTTTGTGATTCTTGCGCTTACAAGTATTTCCCATACTTGTAAATCAACTAGTTAAAATCATTACTTAAAACTACAAATATTTCTTTTAAAACAATGATAAAGATTGCTGATACCCGTGAACACAGCGGTATTTTATTTTCAAATTGATCTAACAGCCAGCTAATTTCTTTGCAGACTTAGCACACGCATTCTTCGGTCTCAATGGCGCGCGAGGCCACGAGCCGACGAAATAAAAATAAGTGAATATTGATTCGAACATTACCCAAATGCAACTGGTGTATATGTGTCTTTTAAGTGATAAGTATAGATTTTTTATTTCGTGAAATACCTGTTTAATTCCCCATAATGGATTTAATCTTCTTTGGAATTTATTCGCCAAAAGACTTGCTTATCACGTCGCATTTTACACCCAATGATTTGACGCACGTCAAAGCGCCATCAATTTAACTGGGCCAGATTTTGTGATATCACTGACCACATTGGCACCGTTTCTCCATCGATCCATAAAATAAGAGAAACAATGAAGTCATTTCGGTATATCAACCTTTATTTCAGGTTCACAAAATAATATTAGCCATATCTGTTTTCAGGCGATATTCTCCGGTAAATGTATATCACCTTGCACGATTCCTAGCAGACGAATCGTGAGTAGTCATACACATAAGCGAGAACTTGTAAATAACTCACTGCCGACAGATCGAATTTCTCCTCATGGGTATATCTTTCAAGCAGGATAAACCCGCCACTAGACATTACAAGAGTTCAATCCATACGACCAGGGTTAAATTTATTGTTAACGCTGAACACAAAATTAAACATAACACATATTTCGTTATTCTGTCACACAAACAAGATATAAATGTTGTATCTGTCTTTCGCCTAAGTATATTATCGACGTAATAATATACTATTGAGAAAACGTATCCTATCACTACAGTTGTGATCTTTCCAACATCTGGGCGCTATTATTGACGTTGCTGTTCGGAATTTTCGCACACCTTTTTGACACCATTATATATTATCTTCTTTCTTCATAATAATACTGTATATGATCGCCGCAGCTTTTATTTCCACATTTTCACTCACTGCGTTCGCAATCATTAAGAGGGTTGCAAATAAAAAGCTCGGGAAGATTTGTGACTAAAAAGGGTTATTTTTTCTAGAAATTAAATAACTACTTAAATTATATGGATATATCCCTGAAAACCATGGAATAGCGGGTATACAGGTTAAGTCATGTGCATGCAAGATTCTATTGACACTGAAGGTGTGGGGGCGGGCGGTTAGGTTACGCTGATTTCTCAGAAAATATAGCGTTAACAAGTTGGTAAGTCGCCTAAAAACAAACCGTTAAAACATGACATTGGGAATAAGAAAAAAAGATTAAAGAAAGGTTTTTAGAGGAAAAAGGAATTAAGTGAATAACACATACCTGGGTATACTAGCAAAGGGTATCTGGGCAAATATAGAGCAGGCACAGACACAGTCGGGAACGAAGGATGGTTTTAAATAAGTATGAGGATAAGAGTGCGATGAGTGAAGTCAGTGGCACGGCACCCAATAAGATCTGTATACTTGCGCTCATAACATATCGATTACTCGTGTATTCTTACGCTAATAATTCCAAGGCTGCTGCGTAATATAAGAAAAGACAGTGTTTTACCGGCTTTATTATACCATGAAACATTACATTTAATTACATTACATTAGGTTTCATTGCTGTGACCCGTTCTCCAGAACGGCATTCGTGCAGAGAATTGAGAACTACATTTCGGTCAAAGGTTATAACGGGACCATGTGACTAACGGTTCACGGTGAGAGAGAAGACACCGTAAACGCGATATCCCCAGTCAGATATGAAATCGACCTGCTATAATCTCATACAGCATGTCAGTCAAGTTTAGTGATATGGATTTTTCAAGATTTTATAATGCACACATTGAAGCTATAAGAGGTACCGAATTCCCAGGTCTTGGAGGTAATATACAAGCTAAATCATCACATCATTTCACACCAATATATGCTGTCACACCAATGCTGTCAAACCCAGTTAACCCGACTTTGCAACAACACATATCTCACAATAGCAGACGACTTTTTTCGCGGAATCAAAAAAAATGCCCAAAATATATTTTCATTTCGTGACAATGCCATATTATGACCAACTTGTATTTTACAATAAATCCTTATACATTTCTAACGAAAGAGCATACACTAAATATATCCTGCATATCCTTGAGTGTGACAGTTTATTGATAATAATAGGCTATGTTTTACCTTGCTGTCATGCATTATATATATTTCACCCCCAGCAGTTAAATATAAAGTATCAAATAATCTCCATTTTATAAATAATATACCTCAGCAGAAGCCAAATATTTCACACATTGTTGCAATGGGTTTTATTCCTGATACCTACATATAAAAAGAAATAATAAGATAACATATGAAATGTCAATGTGTCATTACGTTTTTACACAGTGTTGAAATAAACTGGGCTACTGTTCCCATAATAGTGATAGTTGGGAAATGGGAAACATTGATAATTTCTGTGTCACACCAAAGCAATATTGAAACTTTCTGTAAGAAATATATATATTAATAAGTAAACAGTTATTTTAAAGTCTTTTCAAATTTAACAAAGTAATAAGTTCTTGCCATGTCATACTAGACCCACTACGTATTAAATGAACTTTTCATTGTGGTAATACCTGCTATAAGTGAGAAGAGAACATGCTTTAGAATGAAATTGGCCGAGAATCTCAGTAGAAATTGGATGTTTTTCTGACCATACAATATTCAAATAACCAATGCTTATTGTACCCCGCCTTTTGAAGAAAGCAGGAGACTATTAAAATGGGTTCGTCCGTCCGTCTGCCTGTCCGTCACACTTTTTGGGACACAATAACTCTCCTTCTAATTGAGCTAGGATGTTCAAACTTGGTGTAGGGGTTTATTAGGTTCATGCCTTGATTAGTTCAAAGATAAGCATTTTCTGCTTAGGATAAGCAGAGGTAAGCAATTTGATTGGTTGATGCTTTGGGACACGATAACGTTAGTTCTAATTGAGTGAGAGTGCATGATGAAAAGTTCCATCACAACAATACCATGACTAAGTTTAATAATGAACATTTTCTGCTGAGGGTAAGCAGAGCGATAAGCAATTGGATTGGTCAAGACTTTGGAACACACTAACTCTCCTTCTAATTGAGGTAGAATTTTCAAACTTGCTGTAGGCGTTCATTAGGTGAATACCTTGATGAATTTTGATGATAAACATTGTCGGTAAGCAGAGATAAGCAATTTGATTGGTTGATGCTTTTGGGCACGATAACTTTGGTTATAATCAGTGGCGGCGCCAGTCGTCGGTGATTGGAGGGGCAAAGCTCGGGCAAAGTCCAAGGTTAATGTCAAACGAACGGACTTGCGAATCTCAACGAATTCCCGTTGTGAGCGCCAAAGTAGCGAGTCCATTGGGGACCTCACCAAGAAAATTTTGAAAAATAGACTGTCGGAATGCCCCCCCTTGCTCCGCCACCCTGGCGCCGCCACTGGTTATAATTAAGTGAGAGCTATGAAACTCTGTCTGAGTATAGATTCATTATATCATTACCTTGACTAAGTTTGATGAGAATTTTCTGCTTAGGCTAAGGAACGACAAGCAATTTGATTGGTCAAGACTTTGGAACATAACAACTCGGCTTTTAATTGAGGTAGAATGTTTAAACTTGATATTGATGTTCATTAGGTGAATGTCTTGACTGAGTTCATTGATTAACATTTCCCACTATAGCTAAGCAGAGCAAAGCAATTTCCTTGACTTTGATTCTATCTGATAGAGAGTGATGAAACTTAGTGTATAGTTGATAATCATTTTGATTGTTTGATACTTTTGAAAAAGTTAAACGTGCAGTTAATTGATATGTGTCATCTATTTATTTCGGGATTTGGGCGGGGGACATCAGCCTCACTGTTGGCTTGTTTCTCTACATATGGATCCTTATATGAAAATTGACATGTTTTAAACTATTCCACCCGGTTTCATAGAGTGTTTAGTGATTTTCCCTGGAGCTAGCCAGTCCTAAATCTTATGGTAAATCACCATTCCTGCTTTATGAATTAAACCTTCTGCCTGCATGATGTCCGAGTCTAAATGAGAATACCTGGAACATTACCGGAATTTATCAAATATTTGTTGAATGAGACTTACAATGTCAGTGGGTTTTTTTTCTGATACTTGTATGGCCAAGTGTTTGTTTTATGGTTTGTGTGAGGTACTCCTGCATTTCTCTTTACAAGTACAGTGTATACACATGTATTTTCATAGTTATCATATGATTTGAAACAAGATTCATCTATCAAAAAATAAATACAAAAACCACTATTCCTTTTTTTCAAAGATAAATGGTTTGGAAAGATGTCAAAACCATAAAAATTGTCAATAAATGTGAACTATAGTAAAATAACACGTAGAATGTTGATGATTTGTGAAAAATTGTCGAAGACAACATGAAAATAAATACCCCATTGACCAATTAAATAGATTTTAATGATTTAATTGCATGTTAAATGCATCAGTCGTTTAAACCAACTTCCCTAAATGTTGCCAGATTTTATTTTTGCTTATTTGGAAACAGTAAGTAAAAAAAAAGATAATGTTACTCAGAAAATTCATGCTAAATTCTTATTTGAAAAAAAAAAGCTTCACATTGATATATTTATTTATGTGTAAAAAATAAATAATCAATTTGTGACTTGGGTTGAATGTTAGCAAATCTTAATAGAGAAAATCAATAAACTTGACTTCAGTCTTTTTTTCCATATCCACATATTTTATACATTTCACAAGTAAAAATACAGGATTCAGATTTTATTACCCAATCCGTGGATCTTGATAAACGTTTTGGTTTCAGAGAATTTCCATAATATTACCATTAATCAAATTTGTCTTGATTAGGACAATCACACAACAATGGGAGTAATTCCCTAGTAGTAACTGTAAACTGTGGTTGTTACAGTCTGGCTGTAAACCTATATGATTTGTGGACTTTCTTGTTTGGATTTTTTTTTCTGTTCAAAATTTGGAGCCCCCTAAAACCAATATTCAAGTTGGAGTTGTATGGCTGAATGGTTAGCACATGCGTGCTGTATCATAAAGTCTGTCATTGAGTCAACTGGCGTGGTTTCGAATCCCCGGTTGTACGTGACAAGGAGTAGGGTTGCCTGTCCAACCTCGTGGGTTTTCTCCGGGTCCTCCGGTTTCCTCCCACTGCTAAAGACCCCTATGCACAAGCGAATTATGGAAATAAAATTGAACCATATGTTAGTCCTGAAATGACCTAGTTTGTGTCGAGTGGACGTTAAACCCCATTTCTCTCTCTCTCTCAAGTCCCACAGCAGGCCAAATGGATCTGAAGTAGTCCAAACTACCAAGTCTTAAAGAGCACATAAAATGGCTAAACAAAATTTTATGTACGATACTTATAGCCAGTGGTTACTATATACACTTTACTGCAAGTTCGCAGCAATCTTATTAAAATTAATTGAGCCATCTTCATTCAAAGTTGCAGATATAGACCTCCATTTAAAACTACTTTGCTAATTATCGAAAACACGCTTAATGCCCTCGAACGCCAGTGACGTCACAGTGACCCATATTAGAAATGTTAATTCCTTAATTACCATATGCACAGCTGGGACGTGTACTCGTTAACGTCTGACCGATTCCTTAATCCCCCAATAAAATAAAACAATTAACTACGGAATAATTAGCATAGCTTAAAAAAGTGATTTAACTTTAGAATTTGTTTTATAAATGCCATATTTCTGTATCATTTTGATCAGAACATATTGGAGCAAGCCAACAATACATCTACAATTATATGTTTCCAATTAAAACAAGATCTGTGTGTGAAATTGTTATCGACACCGCTAATATATGAACACCAATTAATTATGTCTCCTTTTACGAAACAAATGGGTTTCAAGTAATAATCATATAAATTTAGTTCATCAAGATTTGATATAAGTATGCTATTGGTCATTTATTAAATGGAGGAAGAATATTTAGAGTGATCCTCTTAATAGTAGTTTTTTTCGATTTGGACAAGATCTGTCATGACAAATGAATGCTATCACCCCATCACATATGTTTTATCTATATTTATCTTACGCAAGTCACTCTTTTTGTAATGAAACATCTACAACACATGCAGCATATTCACATTTCCTCAAGCAGTGTTATAATTTAGAACTAATCAAAATGAGAATAGTACATTAACTTTCATATGTTAGTGATCTATGTCCAGTACATTAATACGATATTATAGACAGGTTGATTTAATTAAATTGTTTACACTTACTTAACGGGTTGAAAATTGGTAAAAAACACAAAATAAAAACGCCTGTGTATATCAAAAGTCACCTTAAAATTGGTAGAAACACAAAATAAAAAAGTCCTTGTATATAAAAAGGATCATATACGGCACTAACAATAGATAAGATCCCTCTTCTTGTATGGGGTTTGCTGTTTAAGTTTATTTGAAATGTTAAGAGTCCGACGAAACATCCCATAGTAACCCTAAGGCCCTTTCTATAACCGGGTCATCTTATAATAGAGATATATGCGACACTTTACCATGTTCAGCAAGCGGAATTGAGTCCTGAACGAATGCACTATTACTTATCCACTTATGGAGGTGAAAGCCTCCTAATTTACAAAGTTTTGTGAGATCCTGTACAATGCCTACAACCTCATCCTCTGTAAGATCTGTCGATTTTAATAAGTCGTCGACATAAAGATCATTTAAAACACTTTGGCAAACGTAGTCATTAAATCCATGAGAATTGTTTTTCGCAGTAGTTTTTAAGGCAAAGTTGGCACAGCTTAGGGAAGAAACCTCCCGAAAAAGATGAGTAGTCATTTGACATTGTTTTAAGGTTCCTCAGACAGATCACCATTAGGCCACCACAAAAATC